GACATGACATTTTTACAAAGGATCGGATGGATACCTATAAAGCAAACGTGGACTCAAATTAGCGTGAAGCTGTGAAATGCTTCTTATTTTTCATGAAATATTTTACACCAATGCATTTAGGGTGACCAGATGTCCCGATTTTATAGGGACAGTCCCGATATTTGGGGCGTTGTCTTATATAGGCTCCTATTACTCCCCACCCCCTGTCCCGATTTTTCACACTTGCTGTCTGGTCACCCTAAATGCATTTGATGTTTTATAGCCCAGGCAGGCCACTGCCACAAGCTTGGGAGTACTTGTGGCACCTAACAAATTTATTAGAGCATAAGCTTTCGTGGGCTACAACCCACTTCTTCGGATGCAGCCCACGAAAGCTTATGCTGTAATAAATTTGTTAGTCTCTAAGGTGACACAAGTACTCCTGTTCTTTTTGCGGATACAGACTAACACGGCTGCTACTCTGAAACCTGGCACAAGCTTGTTCCCTTTGTTCCATAAACTGTAACCATCAACGCTGAAATTAACATGGTGTTTTAATGGAAATCACTTCATGGATTCTAAACGATTCATGTTGCAGAAACGTGCTTGAATTCAAGGTGACGCGGAGAATGATGAGGGCTAGTTCCTATCCTAGACCCTTCATTTTGGCAAGCAGGGATGTTTTCTGGAGGCCTGTGCCCTACCGTTTGGCAATGAAGTGAGATGTGCTGGGACTTTGGCTCTGTGGTGAGTAGGGTGACCAGACAGCAAGTGTGAAAAATCAGGACAGGGGGTGGGGGGGTAATAGGAGCCTATATAAGAAAAAGACCCCAAAATCGGGACTGTCCCTATAAAATCGGGACATCTGGTCACCCTAGTGGTGAGCTAGAGGGGACTATACCCTGCCCTGTTGCTAGAGGGATGAGTTCTATAGGGGCAGAGTAAGGTTGTGGGGTCCCTTAGAGGGGGTCCGTTCCCTACGTGATTGCTATGGAGATTAGTTCTACACTCGTCCTGTATTGGAGCCACGTGTCATGCGCGCGCACTCACTCCCTCCCTCCCCCACGGAGCCTGTCCGGAGCACGCCGGGTGGGGCGCTCTATCCCCCCAGCCGCTCTCTATGGCCTTCCCCCGTCTTGGCGCTCTAGCTGAGCTGCGCCCATAGAGGCGCTGCGGTGCCGTTGGCCGGCTCGGCCCGCCGCGGTTTGGCAGCGGAGCATTGTGGGACGCAGAGGGAAATATGGCGGATGGCGAGGAGCCGTAAGTAGCTGTGTGTGTGTGGTCCCCCCTCCCCTCGGGGCTCGGTGGGCCCCGGGCTCCCTCCCCCCGGGCTCGGTAGCGCGAGACTGACCCTTCTTTTATTCTCTCTCTTTTAGGGAGAAGAAAAGAAGGAGGATAGAGGAGCTGCTGGCGGATGGGTTAGTGTGGGGCCGGGCTGCGGGGCCTAGGGCGGTGGCGGGGCCTCGGGGGGCAGCGTAGGGCCGGGCTGCTGGGTTAGCGTCAGGCCTGCCTGGGGGGGCTAGTGCGGGGCCCGCCGGGCGGGGTAGGGCGGCTGCTGGCGGGTGGCTAGTGCGGGGCTGGGGAAAGTGGGGGCCGGAGGAAGTTGCTGTGGGATGAGTTAGTGCGAGGTCGGGTAGGGTGGAGCTGGCGGGTGCGGTGCCTGGGGGCAGGAGGGTTAGTGTGGGGCAGTTACTGGCAGGTGGGTTATTGGAGGGGGTCGGGATCTGGATACTGGGGCTTTGGGAGCCTGCTGGGCCTGGCGTAGTGAACTAGGGTTGCGGGGGCTGCAGGCCCAAGTTAGCTTCTGTGGGATGGGCTGGTGTGGGGTTGGGGGAACTGGAGTTGTGGGGTGGGAGGAAGCTGCTGTGGGGTGGGGCAGTGCGAGGCAGGCTGGCAGGAGGTGGAGCTATGGGATGGGTTAGTGTGGCCTCCTGGGTGTTAAGGGGCTTGGGAAATGGATTGGAGAAGAGGAATGTCCTGTGGAGAGGGGGCTGGTGCTTGGGGTGCTGGAAGCTTGGCATGAGTATGGCCTGGCAGTGCTGGGAGATGCTATGCTGCTGGGCAGAGGCAGCGGCTATTTTGGCTGCTGAGAATTAAAGATCCAGGCTACAGAAGAGCTGCCTTTGCTTATTAAAACCCCAGACTCTATGCACCTCCCTTCACTCCCCAAAAAGTAACATGTGGGAACCCTCAAGCTGTATCCTTCCCTCTGCTTGCAACCCTCTCCCTAAAGATCACAAAACAGACCTAGCTACTTAGCCTGGGAGGTAGGCTCACAGGCATTGCATGTGTATGTTTGGGATGGGGTCACAGAGGTTCTTGGGCATATTGGATGCATGCTGATGACAGGGCCCCTCAGAAGCATGGAGCTTTGGGAACTGGGAGGGAGAAGGAAAGAGTGTGGGACCTAGGACACCATAAGGACTGTGATACAGTGACAATTAAAATGACATTGAAAACTAAAAACGAGAAATTGGAACAGTTCATTGAAATACACTGTAAGATCCTTAATAAAAATTTAAGTACACAGAGCTAATACCATGGTGCTGTAAAAATGAAGATTTCAAAAATGAATAAAAAACATCTCACTTCAAACAACAGATTTGGCAGGTCTCCAAAATGTCTAATTCAAAACCAAATCTTACTGCCTACAGTTAACTGTAAATTAAGAAAAATGTAGTCCTCTTCTCCCCTCCCCCCCCAAAAAAGTACAGTTGGATAATGGATATATTTAGACTCTATGTAAAATGCACAGAAAATCCGTTCTTAACTCCACCAAGCACAGCTCTACGCTTATTTCCGGCAGAACTTTTAAATTACAGTACATAGGATACAGATTAATTTTTGTGGTGCAAATAAAATAAGTTAAAAACATGTATGAGATTTGCATTTCTTTAGTAACCATGCATGCTAAGAACCAGTGTACAACAGGAGGATCCATAGATCTAAGAGTCAGAGAGGGGAGTGTGAATTGTACATATTGCAGAAGAAAGTGAAGCAAGTTTCAATTACAAAAGAGATTTTTGTGCTGTAGTACTTTTTATTAAGCCCATCATAAATTAGTAACTGGTGTAACTTCATAGAATTAGATGATTTCAGCCCACTGTCTAAAAATAGTCAAAATATTGACAGCTTGTGAAATATTCAAACAAATCCAGTTTTAGGGTGGTTTTTTTTTTAAAAAAAAAAACACTTTAGGTACTACAAGTTTTTGTTCCCAAATTATAGAAAGTCTTTTGCAGGGTTATAGCTTCATTTTAAAAAATGCATCAAATAAAATTACAATGGAGTTAACCCTATTTTCCATGTTTTGAATTTTGAAAAAAGGCTATGCAGTGTCTTGCCGCTATAGCTAGGGTTCCCTCTTTTTTGGCAAGTGAGGAGGAGGGAGACAAATAAATCCTAGCAATTACTGAATTAATCTTATATTGCATGAGAAATATAAACAACATTTGTACTAGAAAACAAACTACATTTCTTGCATATTCAAAGTTGGGTGTGCATGCTCAAGACTGCAAAACTATTTTTTAATTTACGCAGCTCTTGCTAACACTGAACAGTAATTGTAGAGGCTGAGTTGAACTAAATTTTTAAATAGGAGATGTGTTCTTGCAGGGAAAGATTATTTGTTCCGTATATAGATTAATTTAAAAGAGACAAGTGATCTTAAATTAAAAGCAATATTGAAGTGAGTATGCCGGTTCTGAAGTATTCCAACAAGTTATTTTGAGATGTAAAATTAAAATTAATTTAATTATGAACTACTAAAA